TTTAGGGCATGCCATGGGCATGCCCATAGGGCATGCCCATAAGGGCATGCCCCGTGCCCTCATGCCCTATACCCTACATATAATAAATGCTATGATTAGTTTCTTAGAAATTGAAAACAATCGTGATTCTAAACGTGATTGCAATCATCTCAAAAAAATTAATTTAACTACTGAGGAATGGATAGCAATTGAGCAATTAATTCCTATTTTATGCCCATTTGCTGATATTACCAAATTTCTTGGTGGTAGTAATTACTCTACTATCAGCTGTATGTATCATGCAAGTTCACTTATAAAGTCTGATCTTGCACCAAGTGAAGATTATATAGAAATAGTAGACTTTACAAATCAAAATACAGCATTTGATGAAGATATTGGATATGAAGATGCTGATGAAGATATTGATAATAATCCTTCTACTTCTTGTCGTAAAATTCATATAAATACTCCTCAAAATTGTAATAATCTTATTTCAAAAGTTCATACTGCACTATATACAAGTCTTAATTATTATTATTCAATTCCAATAGAAACTGGATTAACAGCAGCATTACTGAACCCACGAAGCAAATCATTATCATTTGTATCATTATATGATGCACAAAGAACTTTTAACAATTTGCGAGCATTTTTTAATAATTCAAATAATGTTAATACTAATACATTTGTTACACAACAAAAAACTCAAATGGTTCTTTACTTTCATACATGTATCGATATCGACAAACTAATACTGAAAAGATTACAAATTATTTTGAATATTCACAGATTACCTTCAGACATAAATTTACTTCAATGGTGGAAAGACAATGAAAATGACTTTCCATTTTTGGCCAAATTGGCTAAAAAATACCTTGCGATACCTGCCACCTCTACTCCAAGTGAAAGGTTGTTCTCTGACGCTGGAAATATTATGACTATACGTAGAACAAGCTTAAGCCCAAATGTATTTGAACAACTTCTGTTTCTAAAATGAAATAATAAGTTGGTTGATAATATTTTTCCCAACTAAACGTAAGGATGGTACATAATAATAATTGTAATTTAAAGATTTTTTTTCCAAACGGTTAATTTTTATTTAAAATAATAATACATAATAAATTCTAAATTAATTTAAAATTTTATTCATTATAGGTTAAATCTTGAAAACGCTACTTGATACTATTTCAAGATATATACACTTTTTTTTTAGCTTCGCTTTTGAATATTACAAAAAATTGTTATATATATATACAGATTGAGTCTTGCTTTTTATGCGATATCAAATATACTTTATACCATTAGAGATTGTGTATACAGGGTGTATTCAAATAATGAATTTGAATCAATAAGTAGTACAACTTTAGTTAACATACAATAAAAAAAAATTCTTATAGTTAGTGTTTGACAGAAGCTTTTAAAAACAACAAAATGTTTGCTAAACGTTTAAATTAATAGTCTATTCAATGTCTTTGCTTGAGAATTCTTGCACAAATATCTAAATCGAAGATTTTAATCAAACCGATTGAAATTGAATGTTTAATATCAAGTAAAAATATATTATAGCCTTTTTCAAAATTAGACTGCTGAATATTTAAAGCAAATATAAAAGAGACGTTTAATGCTAATCACTATATCGATATCAGATATCTAGATAATTATCTGCATGTGATTAAATTCATCAAATATTTATCTATATATGTCGAGTTGACCAGATAATTGACCTAATAGATAAACAGATAACCAGATCTAACCACTAAAAAATTGACCTGTTATACCGATTAAAATGTAACGTACGTCAAATTTTAATGCATGTTTTAATACAGTAATAAAGTATCTTAAATACATACCGATTTTTTTTTATTTTCTTTTCAGCATACTTCAAATACTTCGTTAGTTTTTTTTTTTTTTTTTTTATTTCAAACCTTTGAAAAACTTATAAAAAGACATAATAAATCGTTCAAAATACGATTGTTATCTTATTATTATCGAAGAATTGAATGTTAAATCAAATAATCATAACCGTAGCACTTATTGAAGATTTTTACACTGTTATTTTGTCAACCTCATCAAGATATAAATATGACGGCCAATATAAAACTCGGTTATATCAAGTTGGGTACATGATTTTTAGCCGACAATTAGAACCATTAGGAACTGATGATTTTCTCAATCTTGACATAATTTCAATATTGAATTTCAATAGGCAAATTTTTATTTCTTTACAAAATGCTGGTACTCAATAAAACTTAACGTGTCCAATAAGCCTCATCAAAATATCATAGACGAACCGTCTAATCACGAAGTGGGTCAAGATTAGCGTTGCAAACTTAATTAAATTAATTTGGGTATTATAAAAGCAAAAAAATCAAAATTAATTAAATTTAAGTTTACAACGCTAGTCAAGATACAAGAAGTAATGATTACCACTACTGCGCTATAAGAGCTATTTTGTCGTAAAAACAATACTCATAACTTACGAATGTAGTTGTGTTCATCGAGAAATTATTACGCTTATTCTTGTGCTAAATAATTTTTATATATTTTGCTAAAAAAAATTGTCGTACTAATTTAGCATTTTATTAAAATACTTTGTTTATTAAGAGGTTTTAATAACTTTGTAAAGTTAACGTAACTACAATAATTAAATAAATATTGATATAATAAATATCGGTATATAAATTGTGATAATTTGTCGTAAAATTATGTCAATTCGGTACTTCATTTTACAAATTTAAAGCTACGTACAGTACATCAGATTTTAATTGACGGAAAACTACTAAAAATAAAAAAAATTCCTATTTAATTTTTTGCAAAGTAATATTTAGGTTATTTATAAGCAATTTTAGCGGGTATGCTTATTTCGTTCATATTCAATTACTAAGGGTTTCAGAATTAAACTTCGTAAATTTTATTTTGATAAAATAAGATGACGTATTTATTTTCAAATAAGTGATGTAACGTACAAATCCTATTTATTTTTTTAATTCGAATACACTATTATAAATTTTTTTACGTATTAATCGCTTTTAATATCTTTTTATACTTAACATGCCTAAAATTTCACATCGACAACGTCAAATTAAACAAATAAATAAATAAACTTTATGAATGAATACTCAACTAGCACGAATAAGGCTATTAATAAAGTTCTGGATAAAGAAATTGACGAACTATTGAAATTAATACAAGCCATAGAACTGGATTGATATCTTATTATACATGAAAAAATAATTAAATCTAACGATTTTTTTGAGGTTCTTTGGCTTAATTACGTGTAATGATTATAATTTTAAGCAAATTACTAGAGTTAGTAAAGAGACATTCTGGTACATAGAAAATTTAATTTGCAATAATCCTGTTTTTTTTTAAATAATTCTAAACATTTACAAAGACCAGTTTGGCAACAATTGGCAGGAACTTTAGAACGCTTAGGTTGTAATGGTCTGTAGGACGATTTGCTAGACAGTGTGCTTAGGAATTGGCACTGTGGTTGAGTATACAAAACATATAGTAACAGTTATTAATTTAATTGAAGATACTTATGTACAGTGGCCTGATTCTATTGAGCGACATCAAATTAGTAGCTTAAAGGTTGTATTGAGTTTCTTGATAGAACTGATGTTGTACTTGAATACAAATCGCTAAAAGATGGTAAATTTACTATAAGCGAAGGTAATAAGTTATAGAAAAAAAATAATTTAAGGTTCAATAAGTTATATAAAAAATAATTTGAGCGAAGGTTCAATAAGTAATTTGAACGAAGGTTCAGTAAATAATTTGGGTAAAGGCTCAGTAAGTTATATAAAAAAATAATTTGAGAGAAGGTTTAATAAGTAATTTAAGCGAAAGTTTAGTAAGTAATTTGAGTGAAGATTCAGTAAGTTATATAAAAAATAATAATAATTTGAGTGAAGGTTTAATAAGTAAGTTGAGCGAAGGTTCAGTAAGTAATTTGAGCGAAGGTTCAGTAAGCAATTTGAGCGAAGGTTTGATAAGTAATTTGAGCGAAAGTTTAATAAGTTATATAAAAAAATAATTTTGAGCGAAGGTTTAGTAAGTAATTTGAACAAAGGTTAAGTAATTTTGAACGAAGGTTCAATAATTTGAGTGAAGGTTCAGTAGGTTATATAAAAAATAATCTGAACGAAAGTTTAATAAGTAATTTGAGCAAAGGTTCAGTAAATAATTTGAGCGAAAGTTTTATTATTTATTCTGTTATCATTAAATTGTTCGTTGATCTGCATAATAAAAAATTTTTTACTTATTTCGTCAAATGGGAGCCTCTAAACACTCCCATTTCATTTTCCGATTTCAAAATTTTGATACACAAATATGATTTTTTAAACTCTTACTTGTTTCTGAAATACGAAACCCCTTACTACATAAAGATTATTAATCCAAAGTTAATGTAGTCTACATGTTTTAGAAAACCAAAATAGTAAACTAAACCAAAAAAATGCGGATTGTCCAAAAGAAAAAAATTTGGGATTATTATATAACAAATAATGAAATAATGTTACTAACAACCGTAGTGCAACTTGCCATTATTGTCCAAAGTATTGGAGTTGTGGACGTCCTACAGAAATAGAAGTTTATCTTGTATATATTTGCCCTGATGATTCTAAAATATAAAAGAATATTGAAAAGAGTTACTTTTAAATAAAATTATTAATTATAAACGAACAAAAAACAATTAAATCAACATGATCTATTACATGAGAAAATGAAAATCGACAATGCTTTATATTTAATTGACGTAATGCTTTTTATTGTACGTACGTAGTCTAAATAAACATATTTACATTTTCGGCAAAATTATTAATGATTTTTTGCTTTTATAATACCCAAATTATTTTACATATAGTTTCTTTAGCATTAGCAATTTCTTAGACCGATTTGAATGATTTAACCACTATTAGAACCAGAAAATCATGCACTACTACTTTACTTAAAAATTGAAGAGAAAATGACTCCGTTTTGGTGGTAAAGCGGCATTTGTGGCATAGCAATTTTTCATAGTACGTCGTAAATCTGCGCGTCACAATTTACTGTATATGGTTTCCTCATTCAGAAACGGATTATCAATGCAACGCTAATTGGGAAGTAATAGTGCTCGGCAAAATCAACCAAAAATTTGACAGTCAAATACTTGTGATTAAGGGCGTTCTCAAGCACCTACCTCAATGGACTCAATAACGAATTTGATTGGTCTGTTTGTTCAAAATAGCCAATCAGATTTTTTATTGAGTTCATTGAGGTAGGTGCTTGAGAACGCCCTAAGTCGGACATCAAATGATCGCAGATCAACCAATACTATCGCTATATATTCAGTTTTGTTTGATTTAATCACAAGTATTTGATTGACAAATTTTTGTTTGATTGTGCCGAGCACTAGGAAGTAATAAGCTCTGTAAAAGTTTATTTGAACATTTCCGTCATATTTCCTCATTTCTGTAAAAATTTCATTAATCTGCAACATGATTTGGTAGGCCGAATAAATTCCATTAATATGAACATTTATGGATAAAACATGGAATAGAAAAAAAATTACTGTAACTTTTTTTATAGGGGCTGGCAATGATGTTGCAATGCTTTATTTAAATAGAATAAATTTAGTAATGCTAAACAATCTTTAAATGTAATTTTTGTGCCTCAGATGCGTCCTTGCGTCAGATGACACCCGGCCTAAGTTAGATTAGGGTTAGGGTAAAATTACGGCAAAGATAGGAGTTTTTAGGCCAATTATTGCCGATCATTTAATGCTGGTCATCTGATAGTCATCTGACGTGCGTAATCTGACACACAACATCAAAGAAACTTGATCTATGTTCGATAATTCGTTCATCGATTCTAATTTCTAATCTCGTGACACCCAGACCTATCTATTCTATCAGCTAAGCCGCTAGGCTATTAAAATTCGACGACATAGCGATAACTAGTCGAACACTATATACTAATGACCATAGTACAGTCAGGCACATTACCAAAAATGGAAATCGATTCTAGATTGTTCCATTTAATTTTGATTGGCTTATAGCCACATTTTTCGATTACATTTTGTGGCTTTTTGCCATATATGTTTGCGA